CCATTTCCCCTCCATCCCCCCCCCCCACACACACACAATCACTCTGGAGGAAGTTAACTGCCATGTCACACGTAACCTTGTGGAGAGGCCCACCTGGTGAAGAATTGAAAGCTTTTGGAAACAACCGTGTAAGTGAGTTTAGAAGTGGATTCTCTGCAGCCTTTAGATGATTGCAATATGAAGACAGCTTCTCAGAAATCACTCCTGGATTGCTGACCCTCGGAAACTGAGGTAATTTTTGTTAGTTTAAGTTGCTATATTGGTAGCAGTTTGTTACACAGCAAAAGATAACTATTGAATAATAGAATATAAAAAAATAGCTAATACAATAACAGCTTAAAATAAATTTGGCGTTTAAGAAAGGGGCTCAAATGTGTGCTATATATTGGGAAGTCTAGAGGTGGAAGGAAAACATGAACTGTGATATTCTAGAAGCCAAAACACAATGGTCCATGAAGGTGGGAACTGATGTAATAGTGTCAAATACCATTGACACATAAGGTGAAGACAACTGCCTATTGTGCACATGTCTATGCAGAGTAAGAAATGTGTTAAGAGAGAGGTAATAGATTTCTTACTAGGAAGAGAAGTGACTTCTTGGAGGCAAGATAATTATTCCCTTACATTGATGTGTACACTGAACACTTCTGCTCCAAGTAAGACAGTCTTGATTGCAGTGCTATTCCTTGCCAGAAACTGGAGGATAGCATTAAGATAGGAAATGGAGAGAGCAAGAGCATCAAGCTTTGGTGTAATCTGTTTCAGGCCACTGTAACTATATATTGTCCCCTTCTTGCTGCCAGCTTATGCAAGGCTTGCAGAATAGATAAGACTTGATACGGAATAATGAACTAATGATTACATGCATTCATGCATGCCTCTATGGCAAAGGAATCTTCTCCGTGTCTTTAATTTTGACCATTGGGGATCGTGAAACCAGATCATTTCAGAAAATTAGCCTCTAAGAAAAGAAGTGCTAGTGTTTTGGTAGCTCTGAGAAGCAGAGCTTGGCATCCACTTGTAAAAGTGGACTTGGCTAATTGAAAAAATATAAAGCTAGTTTATATTAGTACAGCTTCTGTGCCAGCAGTTTTTCCCTTGGCCATTTGTGATGTCTGACTGGGTGGGCATGGATAACCCCCCTCAAATGAACTGTCCACCTACTGCAGGGAGCATTCTAGAGGCGAGATTATCACATAGTGTAACAGGTACAGGTTTCACGGACTCCGCCCCCACTCCATGCTGGAACTCCAAATCCCATCAGTACCAAGAAGAAGCACGCAGGGACGTGAGGGCGGAGCTGAGCAGCCAGGTTGGGATAAAACCGGACATGTGGGCTCTGGGGGGCTCTTGGCCTGGTGGTTCACAGCTGATCGTTTTGGCACTCAATCGGTTTTCAGCGTGCCGATGGAGTCCACGTCAGTAGAACTGGTAGGACATCCTAGTTAACCTGTGTTTCTCTCCCTCTTTCCCTGGGTTATCCCTTTACCTTTCTCCTTATAAATAAATCCATCATTTAACCTTTTGAAGTGTGTCCATAATACGATTGAATCGTAAGCGCACGGGTGAAGACCCACAGACAGGCAACCCAATTCACATTGGGGTGCCCTGTAACAATAGGATGGCAACTGAACTAAGGCTCCTACTTGAAACTTACCCAGAGATGACAGGAATGTCAAAGACCCACTTTTTGACAGGGTTTGGGGCCGTGATCCACTTTACTCAATGAAGCCAGCCGGGGTAACTTAGGCCTAGAGCAGAGAGCAGACATAATACTTCCTGCTGCTTTCCAGTTAACGAACCTCTCTAAGAAAGTTACATTTGTTCCTTAGCAGACTGAAAAGTAAAAGTTGCCTATTGTATTTATGTGCATGTGTGTGCAGAGCCATGATAGAATATTTGTTTTGTTGTTCAAGTTTCCAGGTTTATCTTCATCTTTGTCTCAATGAGTGGTGAACAACTCTAGGGAAATACTTGTACACTGGCTGGTTTCTACTGGAGGAGCTGCTCAGAGAGGGGTAAGTTGATGGTGGTACTCAGGCAATGGTAAAAGTATTTCCTGAGAGGGGAAAATAATATCCACTGTATTAGTTTCCTTAATGCTTGAACAAAGTATCAAAGTAACTGTTTAAAAAGAACAGGGCAAATCCAAAATCTAGGTGTTGGCAGGATGCTGCTTAGGGCAGTGTCAGGGACAGGCCCTAAACACGGGTGGTTGGGGGGCAGAACAGGCAGGGTCTTAAGGTGGGAGCGGGGTCAAACAGCGGAGATTTCTAAAAGGGGAAAAAGGGGAGTGGGCGTGAGGAAGACACGGAAGTCGGAGTTGGATGCAAGTCTTCCTATTCTCTTAGCAGAAGTTTATTTTATACATTAGGAGCAAGCAGTGGGATGACATCGGCACATGAACTGGGCTGAGAGATTATAATCAACTTTTTTTCTAAGAACAGTTTGACCTTCAGCTGAGATTATAACATTTGTTATTCTTAAAATCAATCTATTAAAGTTAAGATAAGTACATAAATTTGTAAAATTTGAGGCTAACATTGTTATATTTACCACAGTGATGATTGGCTAAAATAAAGTCCCTTTAAATCTTAAATGCTACTTAATGA